GCAGCGTTCCATGAAGAATCTTTGAGCGCCAGTTAAGTATCCCCATTCCAACAAAATCAATATTTTAAAAGCCACTCACTGCGCTCTTTGTTTCAACAGGACTTAAAGACATCACATTTTCCCTGGATTATTCACGGAGTCTTTTCTTATTGAAGTAGGAAGGAGGATAGTTTCCATTTCACTTTTGTTCCATGTGAATGTGATCCTCTTTGCTGCATCACATTTTTGGCCTCACGATCTGCATTTTAACAGCATTTTAATTTTATTGTTACCTCTTATTTATTGCTTTCTCCAAATGACTGCTAGTTTTGTGTGATATAGTGAAGCTTACCTTGACATCAATGGAGCAGATGTGAATGTGTTTTTGAAGGGATATCTCCAGTGGGCAGAACAGAGTGGGAATTAAATTCTACTGAAATGGAAAAATTCTATTGAAATCAAAGAGTTAAGGTAGGCCTGGACTACACAGTACAGTTTACCACATTCCTGACTGATGATGTCTGATGAGTACTTGCCATGACCAATGTTCCCTCTAAGATGAGTTAATGTGAACTAGCTCACAGTTTTCTAGCCTCCAGCTCACAGATTTTTGTCTTCGCTCAGGAAGGATGGCTCCAGAGCAAACTCATTTATGCAGTAACTAAATTGCTCACTCACAACTTTAATGCCAGTAGCTCACAAAGTAGAATTTTTGCTCACAAGACTGCACAGCTTAGAGGGAGCATTGGCCATGAGTGTTCATTATTGCTAACTAGGAGTAAGGTCCATTGTGGAAAAAAATACAATGAGTACAGAAAGAGGCTCCAGGTGAGTGTCCCAGCTGTGGCTGATGGGGTGGCGGAGGGAAGGGGAAAATAGAGGGAGGCAAGCCATGTTTATTTCCTTCTGCTTAGCTATAAGGCAAGTCTGTCTCAAGTCATTCTGTAGTTTGGAAGTCTGTTATCATTCAGAGAGATGTCCAGGCCTTCCCTTTTCCCACCAGCCACCACCCCTTTCAATTCCAAAACTGCTTCCTGTTTGTTGTACGCACATTTTATGAAACACTTTGTACTCTGCCACTGGCTAACAGTCAGTTTAACTTAGTAGGTGCACTTAACGCTTCCATGGTGCATATGTTAAGTGCCTTTGATGATTCTAATCACAGTGACTGAAATCAATCATGAACATATATTCAGATATTCCCTTTGGTTCATTGCTTAAAGGCATTCTGGGTAAAATACCAAATGCTGACAGGCAGTAATTAACTGACCTTGCTTATAGTGGCCAGTTGTAACTGCGCATGCTCCTGATGTCAGTTTGCTTGCATTAGATGAAGAACACTGCATGATGTACTAATATTTCCTTGAGAGAACAGCTCTGAGAAAACTTGTGACTGACCCAAGGTCACACCAGCAGCTGCATGTGAAGGAGTGGGGGATCAAACCTGGTTCTCCCAGATTAGAGTCCATGCTCTTAACCACTACACCAAATTGGCTCCTGATGCGCCTTTCCATCTAGGGCGGTTGAGTGAAATGTGCAGCTGGTTGCCTGTGACTAGGGCTGTATTTATTTTTCACCATAGAGAAGCTTGCCTAGGCTTCATATATAATTGGATGTTCTCTTGAAATCCACAGTGCCTGCTTCTGAAGTGAATGCGACTGGGATTTTGATGTCAAGCACATTTGTGTATGAACAATGTCTACTGAGAATGACGGGCTTTCTAACGCATCTTTGATGTACACCTTTGGATTTCCAGTCGAGGAACAGAAGAAACGAAGCCGGCCATCAGCCATTTCTGTTATATCTCACCATGTGGGACTCATTAACATAGGTAATCCAATTTTTAAAACCAGCCAACTGAGATCTAGCCCATCGTAGTGAAGTGCCCAAGTCAATAAGGTGATTGGGATACACAGGAATCTATTAGAACGAGGAGCACCCAGCTCCTTACTGTCTTCAGGTTGGTCAACACACACCCTCCCTATTCATTTCTTCTGAAATATATGTTGCAAACTCTAGGTGTGATGCAGTCAAATAAAGATGCTTTTAAAGTCTCCTCTATTGCAAAGGGTACTTAACTTCTGACGGACCGTGCCCTAGATCACTGTTCTTTTGCACATTGGGAGACAGCATTTATGAAAATAAAAGGACTCAGGCTCCATTTCGTTTCTTTCAAAGGATCGTTTTTATATTGTGACCTAACGCAAACATATCATAGGAACTATTTTCTTCATATATGACATTTCGTAACATAAGACATCAACAAATCATGCTTATAGCTGGACATGCTACTCAGTTTCCATGATCGGGGGGGGGGGGGGAGGGGTGGGGTTAACCAGGGCTGCAATGGAATAGTCTTCTCTGTTGGGAGCTTTCCATGTTACTTGTTGGGATTAAACGGAAGCCGCCTCAACCCATTGATTCATAATGGAGAGACACCAGGGAGGGTGAGGACGGACCGGGTGCAATCCAGAGATCGTTACATAGACTAAATCCACTGAAGTCAGCAGTGAAGCATACCGCTCCTTGTGGATTCCAGTGGCATTTAACTCTCCCTGCAGAAATGGGAGACTTGTGGCTCCCCGGAAGCTAATCAAAGGCATAAGCTTTCATGGCTGCGTCTAAGTGGACTCTAACCCACAACAGCTCATGCCAAATAAATATGGCGGTCTTTAATGTATCAGTGGGATTCTGCATTGTTTGCTCTGGACTGTGGCCATGATATTTATTGCATTACCATGCCAGATAAATTTTAAAAACCCAAACCCTGAGTGTGGCTGATGACCTAAAGATATTTCAATGGGGAAACAGGCAATCCCCAAATCATCTGACCGACTCTGTTTCTGGCCATGATTTTTTTCCACTGAGACAAAGCAACAGATATTGCTTTATAACCTGCACGGGAGAAGAGAAATCCTGTTTGTCTGGGTGAGCAGCCATCCATAAAAACATCAGAAGAGCCCTGCTGGACCAGACCAGTGGTCCATCTAGTCCAACACCCACCACAGGGCATAGAGGCTGAGACCTTCCCCTGATGTTGCCTTCTGGCGCTGGAATTCAAAAACTATCTCTGAATGTGGAGGTTCCCTTCGGTCACCATGGCTAGTAGCCACTGATAGACCTCTCCTCCACCGATAGATCTGGTGGGACCATGTGCTGCAGATTCCCTCTAGTTATGATGGATGACAGTCCCAACTCACAGTAACATTGCATTTTAAAGGCTGGGTGAGCAAAAAGTTTGATTCTTGCAGCACGCATGGAAGCTTGAGCATCTGCAGAGCTTTGTGAACAGCTGGATCACTGGGGCTGACCTGCCATTTAACACCACTGTGAACAGTCGCTGCTTCGCTTGGCTAGAATTCAAGGGAGTCCAGGCACAAATAGAATCTGGCTCCCACGCACTGCTGAAATGTCACATGGAGGGGAGGGCTGGGGAAAAATTGGGGTGTGTGTGTGTGTCAGCAGACTGAAGAGCTCCCTTCTCTACAGATACCTGCTCAATCCCATGTTGGTAAAACTTCACATTTAAGATAGCAATTTGATTCTCATACAGATACCTGACATATTGTTGGGGTTGTATACAGGGAAGATTTGCGGGGATCAGACTTGACCATTAAGAATGCATATAGAGATTTTGCTTGCTACCATTCTGCTATGGCCACCTTTTGGCCCTTCGTAGGTCCTAAACTCCCATCCCGTCCTCCTCCTTCCATTTGCTGCTTTACGTTAGTGACCTGCTTGCTTCGGTAGATTGGAGCAGGGGCAAGAAAAGTACTGACACGCTCTCCTGCTGTATGTGCACTGGGAAAGGGAGATCTAGCAAGACTCATCATTGGGTGGGGCTTTTTGGGTTTTGAAAATGGGCAAGGGTGCACTGCAAACTCAGCCGAATGAACTCTGCTCAGATGAACGACAAGGATTCTTGCTCAAAGATTTTCAGAAGAATAAAATTGTTGTGGAAACTGAGCTTTCATTCTGAATTTTGAAGACGTTGAGAAGCAAGAACGGTCTCAACTGGTGAAGTACAAATAGTCATTTATATATTATCAAGAACCAAGATATTTATTATGGTAATGCAGAAGTGGAATCTATAAAGCCCGGAGGGGAGCTTTATTGATTGTAAGCACAGCTTTTCTTGAAGGGGGAAACAAAACAAAACAAAAAAATCACATTTAAAAAAAAATATCCTGATTTTCCAATCACGATGGGCCAATACAGCTGGCCACCTTTGCATTTCACTGCACTGAGTCCCTGGCATTAAAACCAACAATGCCTCTTTTGGAATTAATATAGGATTTCTAATCATTTGAACTGATTGCGTACAGTGATCTTTACCACTGTTGCCTCGTTGCCGACTGAAATGGCTCACAACTGAATGAGAAGCTCTGATCTTATGAGGACATTGTGAACAATACAGACGAGCATGTTTAAATATGTTGTGAAAAATACACGTGAACAAAGGTTGAAGACACAAATGGGTCAAGTCCATGACAAAGCTGAAACGTGAGTTCAAAAGACCATGTAGTGGAAGGCCAAGTCAAAATGAATTGGGAAGCAAGTGAAAGAAATGTGGCTTGAGCTTGTTTTGAGGTTCTTGCAGGAAAGCGCAGCTATTGTATACCCTTGACCGAAGAACGGCACACTTCTACTATCTGGGATGGTCGTCCTCTTCGACTGAACGCACAGCTTTGGGGCACATAGAGCGGTGAGGGAGGTAGGGGACACCCGCCTAGCCAGCCAGATCAGCCGAATCAACCCTGGCGATCAATGGGGTGGCAGAGGTCGCAGCCGGATCGCCCTCACATCCGAAAGAAACATGGCAAAATTAACAGGGCATCAGCCAACCATAGGGCTGCCAAGTCTCGTTGAATCGCAGCGGGGGATTGTCATTCTTCACGCGTAGCGTCACATCCTGGTGACGGTGGTGCAACGCTTGTTGCCGTCCCCCGCAGCAGAGCTCCTGTGAAGAATGACGATCCCCCGCCGCGATTCAACGAGACTTGGCAGCCCTAGCCAACCAAGTCAAAACACCACCTAGTCCTGCTTCGTTCAGTGGGAGAGTTAAGACTTTGTAAAATTCAATGGTACGTTGAGGTCCTTTGACATACTTAACATGGGTTAGATCCCAGGTTGGGGGGGGGGGATGGATGAATTGCATGGGATTGTGTTACATTACACCTTTTTACTAGCTGTGATTGGAAAGATACATGGCAGAGCCCTGGGTTGGAGGTAGCCACAGATCTCTGTATTATCACTGTAGTTCAGAGCCAAGTGGACTGACGAATGCAGGGATATGGTAAGTTGACCTTCAGAGGGAAGATGTAAGTTACTTCCCTAAAGCAGACAGACTGAGCATTCCAAAAAACCCTCAGTTTTTTCTAAATCAGGGCTAAGGAATGCCCTCTAGGGGCTCAGCCTCTACTTGCTCCTCCAAAGGTCCAGTAAGCAGAACTGTTTCCTCTTCCTGTGGGTATTCCAAGGGGCAACCTAGGCCGCCGGCGAAAAGCAAAGATGATAGAACAAGCATCCCCCACTCCTTTAACCAAATCATGGGGAAATACGTGGAATTGCTCCTTAAATACTAGTCCTGAAAAGGTCAGCTAAAAGGAGAGCCGCCACGTGGGTGTGTTCCCCCTCCTCTTTTGTTCCAATGTGGTGCCCTATCTCGCCCCTTCTGCTTTTCCCACCTCCTCCTTCAGTACTTGCACTGATGTTTTAGAAGCATTAGAATTAATTCTAAAGCGTGGCATGCTTTCCAAGAGTAATTATAGGCTGTAAAATGGGCATGGCATGCAGTTAACCAAGTTAATGCAATCAATCCCTGATTAAATAGGCAAACGTCTAAAAAATCCAGAAAACTCCTGACTAATGCTGCAAGGCGCCTCCTACCTTCTGGAAGTGAGTAATCTGTCCTTTCTCTGTCTCTCTGTGTGTGTTTTGAGAGAAAACTTCATTGTACATGAGTTCCCCACCCCACCCTGCCCTCCTCCCTCCCACGGCTCCTTCATAAACTCAGGTCGACTATTATGTGTTCAAATATTTGTGTGTGGCCTTTAAAACTTGAAGCAAAGAAAAAATCTCTTCTGTCTGTGGACACCGCTGTGAACGAACGAGGGGCCTGCACATAGATTTCCTTAAATATTTTAAAGAGCTTCTTTTCGTTGTCCCACTGGAAGATTTGGGAAAAGGTGTAGTCACTGCCCAGGGCTAGGTAGTGATTATTCTTAAAGGAGAACGGCTGCAAGGTCATGGCGCCCCGGGAAGGAAGAGCTTGGATCTCCACAAACTGTTTGCTGTTCCACTTCATGACTCTTGAGTCACCTATAAATCTTGTGAGGGAAAGGTAGAGGTCGTCTTGGATTCGGAAGCTTTTCACGGCCAGGACATCCTCCATATTGGGGATCTCACTGTGCGGGACGAACTTTTTCGAATTTTTGTTCCACTGCAGAATGATGGGGATCTGTGAGCGGCTTGATAGAATTAGGTGGGATTTCCCATCTATGTCAACGAACTCGGCATCTGTGTCTCGGAACCATTCGTGTAAGGACTGGTAAGAGTAGAACCCCTTGTTATTCCATTTGTAAATTGTGGTCAGACCAGCTTTTGAGCTGTCAGCGATGACAAAGAACATTTCGCTCTCTATCTGAAAGAGCTCGATGTCGTTTGGCTTTGAAATGCGGGAGACCTCAATGTCTTGGAATTTGACAAACTTGGTCCAGCTGTCGTCATACTTATAGATATGCGAGCCACCAAAGAGCTGAGCCACCACCACGAAGACCTGATCGTCAATCAAGATAGCTTTGCATCCCACTATGGACTGACCTGTTGGTTCAAACAGAGCAGCAGGGTTAGAAGCAGACAATTTAAGAACAAATTATATACCGCTAAACATTTAAATAGGCAAAAAGATTATTTCATGAAACTAAAATTAATTACATGGTAAAAACCATTTAAAAAGAATGTACCGTTCAGAATTAATATCTACCCCCCCCAATGTCATTAAAATCCATTAACTTGAATTCTACGACTTTCTTCCATTCTCATAGCACCGCAATGGAAGTGAAGAAAGACGGAAGGAACGTGCGTCACAATGCAAGACTGCATCTGCAGCACTGTTCAGACAGAAGAAAGGTGCAGGAACCAAGCATCTGACATGAAAATAGCAATGACAGGCAACTTGCATATGGCAAACCGCTGTAGATATGTGGCACTGGCAATAAAGGTAAAGGTAAAGGTTCCCTTGCTCGAAAGCCAGTCGAATCCGACTCTAGGGTTGCGGTGCTCATCTCCGTTTCAAAGTTCTATTTTGCTTCCACTTCATTTGTAAATTATAATCATTAATCCATCCAATAGAAATTGGTACGCCTAAGTTAATATTTCTGCCTCTCAAAATTACTCCAGTACAAATGCACTTATAAACTCTATCTCCCATAATTTCCCTTTGGATCTCCTTATGTTTTTTCCCTGATATGTGCATGCAAATATGCCAAAGTGAAGTAGGAATTGTTGAAAACAAACAAGATATATGCGTTCGTCTTTTTTACCGGTAATGTTATCGTAACTCCTGAAGTTCTTCTCAATGTGATCCCATTCTAGCACCATGCAATTTTCCATGCTTGGCTGGGCGATGGCCACATACACATCGTTCTTTGAATGGAAGGTGTCCACCGAAACCGACTGATAGGGTAAAACCTGATGAACTACAAAATCTAAAAAAACACACACATTTTTTTACAAATTATTCTGTGCTGAAAACATGAAGAAACTGATAAATGATACTGACATTACTGAAAAACATGTAAATACTCCTGAAAAGTATCTCTCTCACACAAAGGCTTTATTTAGTCATCCTGCTAAACCATGATTTACTGTAATGGGTCACAATGCAGTGTCTTTCTCATAAGAAAAGCCCTGCTGGAACAGACCAGTGGTTCATCCAGCATCCTGCCTCACACGGCAGCCGATCAGTTTCTCTGGATTGCCAACAACAGGGCATAGAGGCCTTCCCCTGATGTTGCCTCCTGGTTCTGGGATTCAGACGACTAGTGCCGCTGAATGTGGAGGTTCCCCTTAACCACATGCCTAGTAGCCATTGATAGACTTATCCTCCAGAATCGATCTATTCCCTTTTAAAGCTGTCTATCCCTGATGCTGGGAAAGACTGAAGGTCAAAGAAGACGGGGACGGCAAAGGATGAGATGGTTAGACAGTGTCATAGATGCAACGAACATGAAATTGAGCCAACTTCAGAGGACGGCGGAAGACCGGAAGGCCTGGCGTGATCTGGTCCATGGGGTCGCAAAGAGTCGGACTCGACTGTGCGACTGAACAACAACAATCCCCGTGGACATCACTACACCCTTAGGCAGCGAATTCCACATTGGAGTCACTCTCTGTGTAAAGAGGTATTTCCTTTTGTCTGTCCTGAACCTACTGCCCATCAGCTTGATTGGACGCCCTCGAGTTCTGGTCTTTTGGGAGAGAGAGAGAAAAAGTTCTCTGTCAATTCTTTCAACCCCATGCATATTGTTATAAACCTCTGTCATTTTTTCCCCTTAAGTCATCTCTTTTCTAAACTGAAAAGTCCCCGACTCCTCAGCCTTTCCTCAGAGGGAAGGGGCTCCAACCCCCTAATCATCTTGGTTGCCCTCTTCTATACTTTTCCCAGCTCTGCAATGTCCCTTTGGAGATATGTCTTGGCAGAGTTTAAACATGCAAGGAAGTGGAACACTGTTTAGAAGGAAAAAATCTTAGGTCTCGGTCACACGGAGAATTTGCCCTGTGAGAGGGACGGACGGCTTGCTGGCGGATTAAACGGGCGTGATCATACTGCAACATCTCGCAAGCATGGCGCGCCCGTCTCCAACGCGTAGCTTCGGCCCGAAGAAGCAGAGTTAAAAGATACTAGGAACCAGGGGTCATTTCCTGCAGGAGCGCACAGGAGTGGAGGTCCGGCAGTAAAGAGCCCAGGGGGGCGGGCACATGCAACAAGCCCCACCCCCTGCTCCCAGCAGCCCTCAGTCAGAGCAAGAAGCAGCCAGGTAAGTTGCAGACCACCCCTGGCCTCTCGGTCCAAGTGGCACCTTTAATACCAAGTTTTATTCAGGTACAAGCTCTCCCTCCTCTGCATTCCCCCCCCCCCAATAGCTAGCAATCCAAAACAGTCCAGTGGAGCCTGAGCGGTGGGTGTTGCCTTCTGACACACGTCCGGTGATGTCAGGGGTGTGTGGCATAGGCAAATGAGTTATGCTAATGAGCTCCTGCACCTCTTTTCCTATGAAATGACCCCTGCTAGGAACCATGCAGTATCTTCCGGAAAACGCGCAGCACGGGTGGGCGTCTGGTTGGGGAAGCGCAGGTAGCCTGTCGCAGCCAGCGCCCGTCAGCGTCCTGTGCATGCGCACAAACGTGGTACTGCTGTGTTGCCTCGCTTAGTGTGATCAGCTGCCAAAGGCCTGAGCACGGCGCCTCGGGGGAACGTCAGATCGCGCTACTGCACTTCGTTTTGCTCCGTCTCTAAAAGCCTCACTTCCCCTGCGGATTATCTGGCTCATGTGACCGGGACCTTGGTTTATTAAAGGAGAACAAACTGTTATAGAATATAGAAGAGAGAGAACCTTAACTTTCCAACCTGACTGCTATAGGAGGAACAACAAGAAGAAGGGAGCTCTGCAGGAGCAGGAAGTCTTCAGATAAGCCAATCAGGAGACAGCAAAGGCATAATTTGAAAAAGTGGGAAGTCCGTAGCCCAGCTATGCTAACTACAGGTCCTTCAGCTGTCCCCCTGTAGGATGATCTTCAGATCTTCTTCATAAGGCTTCACGATAGACCTTGCCTATTCCAACAATACGGTGACCAGAACTGTGCAGAGTATCCCAAATTAGGCCACACCACAGATCTATACAGGGGGCAGTGTTCCCTCTGAGCTGAGTTAGTGTGAGCTAGCTCACAGTTTTTTAGCCTCCGGCTCACACATTTTTGTCATAGTTCAGGAAGGATGTCTCCAGAGCAAACTAATTTTACGCAGCAGCCAAATCGCTGACTCACAACTTTCATGCCAGTAGCTCACAAAGTATAATTTTTGCTCACAAGACTCCACAGCTTAGAGGAAGCATTGACTGGGGGGTTACAATATTGGCCATCTTATTCTCAGTCCTTTTCCTAATAATCCCTAACATAGAGTTTGCCTTCTTCACTGCTCCAGCACACTGGGCTGACCCTTTCCTTGAGCTATCCACCACGACCCCGCACTTGCATGCTTCTTTCTCTTCTCTTGCTCATAGTGTGACTAAGAGTTCCTGGTTTCAAACAAGTGCCAGTTTCCCAGGACATAAGAAACTGAAACACAGTTTGTTGAACACCACACGCTGGTACAGAATGCGACAGCCATGATGTTGACTGGAGTGGATGACAGGGACCGCGTCTCTCCGGTCTTGGCCCAGCTACACTGGCTCCCAGTTTGTTTCTGGCCACAATTCTACGTGCCGGTCTTGACCTTCAAAGCCCTACAGGATTTGAGAACAACATACCTGAAGGACAGTCTAATCCCTTATGAAACCGCCCAACCACTTATGGTCATCTTCAGTGGTCCTGCTTCAGGTTCCCCCATCTTCTGAGGTTAGGTGGGTGGCAGCCCCGGAGAGGGTCTTCTTGGTCCTGGAACTCTCTCCCCAGGGAGATTCATCTGTCTCCTTCTGTTACCACCTTCCATCATAGGGTTGCCAGCCTCCAGGTGGGGCCTGGAGATCTCCCACTTTTACAACTGATCCCCAGCTGACAGAGATCAGCCCCCCTGGAGAAAATGGCTGCTTTGAAGGGTGGACGCTATGGAATTGTACCATGCAAGGCCCCTCCCCTCCCCAAACCCCGCCCTCTCCCGGATCCACCCCCAAAGTCTCCAGGTACTTTGCAACCCAGACCTGGCAACCGTATTCCATCATCTGATGAAGACTTCTTCGTTTTGCTTGGAAATTCCCTCAGTTATCCACCGTCCTTCCTGATGTTTTTATGTCTTTGTATGTATGTTAACTGTTTTTAATTTGTTTTGTTGATGTGTGTTGGGGGGGGTTGGTTTTAATGGTTTTAAAATGTGACTGTATCATACATGAAGAGGAAGAGATTGGATTTATACCCCATGGCCCTTCACTACCCAGAGGAGTCTCAGAGCGGCTTACAAACTCCTTTCCCTTCCCCTCCCCACAACAGACACCCCATGAGGTAGGTGGGGCCGAGAGAGCTCTGACAGAAACGACTCTTTTTCAAGAACAGCTCTTATCAGAACTATGGCTTGCCCAAGGTCATCCAGCAGGTGCAAGTGGAGGAGCGGGGAATCAAACCCGGTTCTCCCAGATTAGAGTCCGCGCACTTAACCACAACACCAAACTGGCTCTCGCCAGTTTAAAGGGTTAGCTGCCTTGGTGGCCCTTGGGAGGGCAGAATGGAAGGATATCAACTTTGTGCATACGTAAATAAAACAAACTTTGGTTCATTTGTTTGTGAAGCCTGAACACAGCCTAAGACAGGCAAGAAATATGCACTACAAACAAAAATTAAGAGTGGGTCCTATATTGCAGGATGGAGTTAAAAAATGGGCCACAGATCTGGAAAATGCTGGTTTTGTTTATCACACAGGAGCACAGAAAGCAGCCCAGGGTATGCTCCCTCTAAGCTGTGGAGCCCTGTGAGCAAAAATTCTACTTTGTGAGTTACCAGCATTAAAGTTGTGAGCAGGTGATTTGGCTACTGCATAAATTAGTTTGCTCTGGAGCCATCCTTCCCAAGTTAAGACACAAATGTGTGAGCCGGAGGCTAAAAAACTGTGAGCTAGCTCACACTTACTCAGCTCAGAGGGAACACTGAGCCCAGATGAATTTCCCTGTTCTGAACAAACAATAAAGGTACATAAGTCAAGCCCTCCCCCTGTGACTAGTTACCTCAGGAAGGAGCATACCTGGAGGATTACAGGCAGAAAGAAGAAGAGGAAGAGATTGGATTTATACCCTGCCCTTCGCTACCCAAGGGAGTCTCAGAGCGCCTTACAAACTCCTTTCCCTCCCCCTCCCCACAACAGACACCCTGTGAGGCAGGCGGGGCCGAGAGAGCTCTTGACAGAAACTGCTCTTTTTCAAGAAGAAGAAGAAGATTGGATTTATACCCCACCCTTCACTTGGAGTCTCAGAGCAGCTTACAAACTCCCTTCCCTTCCCCTCCCCACAACAGACACCCTGTGAGGTAGGTGGGGCTGAGAGAGCTCTGACAGAAACTGCTCTTTTTCAAGAAGAAGAAGAAGATTGGATTTATACCCCACCCTTCACTCGGAGTCTCAGAGCAGCTTACAAACTCCCTTCCCTTCCCCGCCCCACAACAGACACCCTGTGAGGTAGGTGGGGCCGAGAGAGCTCTGACAGAAACTGCTCTTTTTCAAGGACAGCTGTGCCAGAACTATGGCTTACCCAAGGTCATCCAGCAGGTGCAAGTGGAGGAGTAGGGAATCAAATCAAATCAAATTTATTATTACGGTTCGTGACCAGCACAAGATCAGTTACAACAATGTACATGAATCAAACCCGGTTCTCCCAGATTAGAGTCTGCGCCCTTAACCACTACACCAAACTGGCTCACCCACCAAACTGGCTCACATACCAAGCAGCAAGCGGGCAGAACACAGTGTGCCCATTTTCTGCTATCGAACACACCCCATCCCAACTGATGTGATTGGGACAGACTTTTTAAAAAAAATGATGTGGATCTTCTGGCCACCACCTATCGCAGTTCCTTAACTCCCAGGAAGCAAAGGGAAGTGACAAATTATTCCCCTGTTGTACACTGTAAAGTTCAGGGACCCCACGTTCCAGGCCCTCTTCCCCTCTCCTGCTAGACTTCCCGTGGGCAATTTCCTTAAGAGTGAGAAATTCTCCACAAAACATCCCTGTGAGAATATTTTCTACCTGCTACTTCGTGAAAGCCAAAGGACAGAAGGTTAAATGATACACCCAGCTTGTTCCAAAGTAACAGAAGCTGGTAGAAGGTAAAGGAATCGGAGCCATTTGTTTCACAGCATGGGACTCTAAAAAATTCCACCTCACGCCACCGTAACACCTTCTGAAGCATTTTATCTCCATCCCAGAGGCTGGTCACAAGATTGTTCCTTCACTGACGGCACTGCTCTTGCTTTCTCAGCGTTTTCCTTCTCCTGCTCCTGTTTTGAAAGCTAGAACATGTTTTGCTGAATGCATCCATTCTGAATCACTGACTTCTTTCTTTTTCTTTCCACCTCACTGTTGTTCAGCTCCAGGAGCCCTCCGGATACCACTGCTAGGAGGGGTCGGTCGTGGCCTCTACGCCCTGTTGTTGACCCTCCAGAATAACTGATTGGCCGCTGTGTGAGACAAGATGCTGGACTAGGTGGGCCACTGGTCTGATTCACCAACAGAGCTATAACAAGGGCAAGGCAAGTGAGGCACACACAAAGCGGAGGGGCACAGAAAATGTATATGATGACTACAAAAACATTGTGTTGTTATTACTCTTGTTATAGCCAGTTTGGTGTAGTGGTTAAGAGAACAGACTCTAATCTGGGAGAACTGGGTGTGATTCCCCAGTCCACCACATGCAGCTGCTGGTGGGACTTTGGGTCAGTCACAAGTTCTCTCAGAGCTGTTCTCTCAAGGTTAGTTCTTGAGAGAGCTCTCTCAGCTCCACCTACCTCACAGGGTGTCTGTTGTGGGGAGGGGAAGGGAAAGGCTCTGAGACTCCGAGTGAAGGGCGGGTATAAGTCCAATCTCCTCTTCTCTTCTTCTTTATGAATGTACCTTTTTGTCAAAATAACTACTATGAAAGTATAAGGGGCGCAACTGTATTTTCTTGCCTTGGGTGCAAAATGGGCTAGTTGTGGCTCTGTTAATCAGGGCTCTCCTTATGTCCTTAAAATGACTCTCTTCCTGCTGTAACATAAGAGCAGAGCAAGGGTAGAAACTTAAAAAAAACATGATTGGGGTCCAAAGAACGGACATAAAGGTATAAGAAAGAATTGTGCCCAAAGGCAGAACTCTTCCATTTTTCTGCAGCAGACTCTGTCGTCTGAGGGAAAAGCCATAGTTCAGTTCTAGACGTGGCCGGTCTCTTCTTCAGCAGGAAAGCAAAATTCGGGCTGCCTTTGCAGTGTGCTCGTGCCCCTTCTCTCTGTATCCTTAAAAACAGGAAACTTAGGGCAGTGCCAGCTCGCTGCCATATCTGTGTAGTCTCCCCTTCCCTGTTCCCACCTTGCTTGCAGCTCAGCAGCTTGCCGTAAACGTGCCAGGGAGACCGTGGGAGCTAGACGCCGTTATCAGTCTGGCCTTGTGCATTAGGGAGGGCTTGGGGTCCACATTTGGTGTGAATCTTTCTGCTCTCAGGAAACCCTGCGACTCTCTCCCGCTCATTATGTAATCTCCCGCCGGGAATCTTCCCGCCCGCGCGCTCAAAGTTCATTTGCTTAGCTAGTTGCCTTGCCCAGCTATATGGATTGGGATGTTCCCGCCTTCTAGTTATTCCTAACAATAATCCTGTGGACATGGTACCAGTCTTGTACACTAATAAAGCATAACGCTTCTTAGGAAACGTGTGTGAAGAGTTACTTGCTGTGGAACCTGTCAGGTGGGGCTAAATGTTGCAGTTGACCAAACCAGCATCTAACTAGTTCTCCGCTGATCCCGCCAAGTGAATCTCATCATGTAACTGTCAGGCTCCCAGTGCATTTTGCATTTTACAGCTCGCCTGTTACTGGGAGAGGAGGTTCCTCTATCGCTCTCTTTGATGTGCCAGGGGCTTGTCACCCTAGCGATGCCAAATGTCCTGGCTTCTCAAATATCTGTGATCCTGTTTTCCTTACTAGTTCTACACCGGGCAGTATCGGCGTGTGCAGTTAAAATGAATATATATGTTGTCTTCCCTATCCCCTACAAACATTGTTAGTCCCTTGTCTGTATTTGAGTAACTGTACATCGCTTTGAGCCCACTGGGGAAAGCGATTAATAAATGGAAAGTATTATTATTATTATTATTAGGTAAAGGCTACGTGCCTATGGGGGAAAGGGGGGGGAGCTGACAGTTAGTTCTGGTAGGCAAATACCATGGGGTGATTGGGTCCCGATCTTTAGTGCCTTTACTTGAATCCACTGTATCTATAACCTTCGCACGTTTAACATCAGTCCTAACAATAGATGTGTCCAGGATGGTATCTATCAACTGTCTCAATAAAGGCTCCAGTCACACGGGCTGGAAAATGTGGGGGGAAGCGTGGCTGCGCGATTAGACGTCCGGTTGAGGTCCCGTGGTTAGGGGGAGGTGCCGATCACACCACAGGCAAAGAAGCGGGGCGGCGCAGCAAACAGGGTTGTTTTTTAAAAAAAACTGAAGTGTGCGCATGCTCCGTTGGGTGCTTGTGCGCATCCCATGGAGACTTGGGGGGGGAACCTTTTTGTGAGGGGACATGGGCGGGCACCCGATGCCACCGGAAACACGATCAGACGCCCGCCCTTGCCCCTGCGGTTTCCGGAAACTAGTACCTCGGAGGTACTAGTTTTTTACAGCGCATCTTCGGAGTGAAGCCTCGGGTGAGCCACGGGAGCTCTACGCTTCCCAGATGTGGCGCTGTGATCGTGCCCGGAAAATCCACCTATCTTCCATCTCTGTAGCGTGGCTAATGCTCCGGGTGACCGCAGCCAAAGTTAGCTTTTTACAAACTGGCTGGTGTTGAGAACTGATTTAACCGGGAACCTGGCGGTAACTTGATGTCATCACACTGTCTCCCCATCTCCTCTCCACGCACTGGCGGCCCCCAGCAAAGGGGCAGGAAACTTTGCAATGTGGGAACATAATGATACTGGGTAAGTGCTATTAGGGGTCATGGAGAAGGAAGCAAGTTGTCTGTAACATTTAGCTCCATCCTTAGCCTTGGCTAAACGTGATTTTGCTTTGTTCATGAGGATCAAGGTGGATTCTTAAAGAAGCTTATGGGACAGAGAGGCTCAGAAAAGGAGGCGGCGGCTGGAGGGTGATGGGAAGAAAGGAAAGTTTTTAAAAATATATATTTTATCAGCCTTCTTAATTAACATGGCACGTAATGGCTTCTCAATCAGTGCCCTTGTACAGAATAATTTAAAAAGAGAAGCCGGCTGAAGTGCTAACACACCAAAGCCTGGAGGAAACGACAGTTTTGGATATTCATTGCCAACGAAATATACTTTCTGAATTACCTGTAGTGGTACATTCGTCGTCAAAACTGGAGACATCATTTAACTTCTTGTCCTGAAATTCTGCCGGACCAATACACAGGACATCAGAAACAGTGGAATTTGTCATCTTTAACCATAAAAACAACCACTTGGCTTTGCAGTCACATTCAAACTTATTTCCCCTTAAATCTCTAAAAAGACACACAAAAAAACAGATTTGAAAAGGTTGATGTTGATCAGAGTGAAAGGTTCATAGAAACTTCCATGTCATATTTAACTTTTTTTAAAAGTACAGTTTAAAAGAAGAAGAAGAAGATTTACACCCCACCCTTCACTACCCGAAGGAGTCTCAGAGCAGCTTACAATCCCTTTCCCTTCCCCTCCCCACAACAGATACCCTGAGAGAGCTCTTTCAAGGACTGCCCATGAGAGAACAGCTCTGAGAGAACATGTGACTGACCCAAGGTCACACCGGCAGCTGCATGTGGAGGAGTGGGGAATCAAACCTGGTTCTCCCAGATTAGAGACCGCACTCTTAACCACCACACCAAACTAATTCTGGTCAGCCTGTGACAGTCTTTGGCCCTACATGTAGCCCAATGAAATGAACAGGGGTTGTCTGGGTGTAGTACATGCTAACCCCCAGTGTCTGTTCACTTCATTAAAGTAAATCCAAATGTCCATGTGGCAAGATAGCTGCGAATGTTTGCTGTCAGACAAGAGGATCTTGTGGATAAAGGAAGATCCATGATAATTGCTGGAACAAGCCATGGCCCCTTTGCCAGAACAGTTATTTATGAAGTGCAATAAAATTCACAGATTTCCATGGTTCATTAGAGTGGTATCTGTAAGCAACTGGTAAACAGGGATGGATAGAAACCGCGAAAATACAGTTTGGCTCGTGGTTCGCAGCCATACCACGAACTGAACCACTAACCAAACCGAACCAAGAGGTTTGTTCACGAACCAAACTGGTTTGTGGTTCGTGGCCCCGCAAACTGGATTGAAACGGACTGCAGCCCTTTTAAACTGGGTTTGCAGAAAGCCCGAAAAGCAGCTGAGCAGCTGGTTTGAGCTGTCTAGTGCAGTCCCTTTAAATTTCAAATTTGTGCCAAATTTTGCTTCATGGTTTGATTCATGTCCGTCCCTACTGATAAAAATTAACATGATAACTGGCATTATGCACCAGAAAAACTCCAGATAGTACATATGAGCCTACCCCCAATTTATCTGTGTAACAAGCCTGTAGTTTGTATTTTTGTATATTATAAGTTTTAACTAGGTTTTTAATATTGGCCCTTCATTAGACTTTCTTCTCACCCTTTCGGTTCTTGAGCAAGGATTTAAAAGCAGGTGTCAGTGGTTCAAGCTCAACATTCTTTCCAGTTTCCATATTCTCAGGGTGTTCCTTCATTCTCCAAACAATGGCCTACATTCTACAAGTTGCAGCAAAGTTCAGCGCCTTTCTCCAGCCTGAGTAGTCTGTCCATTGGAGGAGGTGTCATTTAAGTCAGGGGATGGGTCTTTAGGCTGGAGGGAGGCTTCAAACTTTGCAAAGGTGTCTTATTCAGGCCAGTGATCCAGGGTCCATTGACACATAAACCGACCTGAGATGGTCAGGTCCCATTAAAAAAAAAAATCAGTGCCACCTAGCAGTAAACGTTTTGCACTTCAGGAGCATATACATACAGGCAGAGAGGATGCGGGCTAATAAACTGAGGATTAATTCCAACAAGACGGAAGTACTACTGGTAGGTGGAAGGTCTGGCCTGGGATTTAAGGTGTCGCCCATTCTGGGTGGGGTTTGCACTCCCCTTGAAGGAACAGGTCTGTAGTCTGTGGGGTACTCTTGGATCCCAGCCTACCACTGGATAAGCAGGAGGCAACCGTGGCCAGGAAAGCCTTTTACCAGTTTCGACTAGTTAGCTTGCTGCAGCCTGTTGTGAACAGAAAAGATCTGGCCACTATGGCCCATGCCTTGGTTACATCTAGATTAGATTACTGCAATGTGCTCTGTGCGGGGCTGCCCTTGAGAAGTGCTTATAAACTTCAACTGGTACAAAATGCTGCATGCAGCATGTTGACTGGAGCGGGTCACAGGGATCAGACCACTTTGGTGGGCCACCTACACTGGCTTCCAGACCCAATTCAAGAGACTGGTTTTAACCTTCAACGCCCACTGTTGCTGTCTTCCACCGGTGGGTGAAGCCCTTTTTTGTCTGGCTTCACATCGCCTCAGTGATCTCTCCTTCCTAACCAACGTTTTTGTGTTTTGTTTGTATCTTAACTATTTCGTATGAATTTTAACTCTTTTAACTCCTTTTACAGTTGTTTTAATGAAGAAATGGTGAAGAAAGATGGAGTATAAATGAAGTAAATAAGTAATAAATATATCTGAAGATGGGACGCAGATAAAAAGGTAGGTTGGTGAATGGCTGAGGAGAATGAGGCAGGGAAGGGAAGGGGATATGGGGGGGTTGCCAGAAGGAAGGAAAGAGGAAATAGTGCCAGGGAGGGGGATAGAGGGAAAAGTGAAGTGCCACCCCTCAAGTCCTTGAGCATTCCCTACCATGCAAGTGGGCCTTGCCAAGTGGCCAGCACCACACAACTGGGCCATAGTTTTCCTGGCTAGAGGCTGTTGGGGAGGAGAGAGAGAAAGCTGATGACAGAGGGGCAGATAAATGTAAGTTGGCCATGGGGTGGGAAGGAGACAAGGAAGTAGGAAAAGGGGAGAGGCTATGAGGGCTTTCAGGAAAGGGAAAGAAGAAATAGTGTGGAAGCGGGAAACGAGATGCCTCCTGCAAGTCTTCTAGAGTTCCTGCTTGTTATATTTATATTCTTGAAAAAGAAGCATCCCTCAATGTATGACTCTAGCCAAGTTGCTTTTGGTACAATATCTGTTCTCTTGGCATGCCGTGCCAAGTAAAAAAACCCTAAACTAGGGCACTGCAACTGCTGTGCCAGCGCAGTCAGGAAACGCAGCGATTACTCAGCACCGCATGTACACTTTACAAGCAAATTCTTTATGAGCAGCCTTCGTAGCCAGAGCAGAAGGCTATTCTCCACTTGACCCCAACAGTCAGCGATCTTATTTTAACTGAAAAGCAGCTGGAGGGGTAGTTAAGAGCGGAACAACAAGAGGGAGAGTGGTTGTTTGAGGAGGAGCTATTTAACCCCCCCCCCCTTGCCATTTGTGGGCTCAGAATTACATATCAGCATACACACAATGGCGGCGGCGGGGGGGGGGGGGGGGGGGGTGATGAACGGATGAAAGTGAACTGGGAAATGGCTCAAGGAAAGCAGCTGCCTGTCAAAACTGCTTTTGGTTAAGAAGAAAAAAAGACAATGTGGAAGAAAGTAACTGGAAATTCCAAGCAATATCCAGCTTGATGCAGAGATGCAATAGAAATTCTAGCAACCGTCTGGAGTTTTTAAGGGATGTTCCTGAAGAAATAATTTCAGGGGAGAAAATTCTCAGTTCACAACACCTTCTGCGCCAGCTTCCTTAGAAAAAAAACCATGTCTGTATATTAATAATAGGTTTTAGACAAAATTCCACATTGTAGTTGCTGTTGAATATAACGATTTGGGGTTATTAAAAAAAATGACTGGATTTGGCAAATTGATCTACTCAAATGAACACTGTTAAAGCCTAATTATATGACAGTTCAACTTTTTCTTACAGTGCAATCCTATGCATGTTTAGTCAGAAGCAAGCCACTCTATGTTCAATGAAACTCTCAAGTAAGTATGCCTAGGACTGCGACCTTAAAGTATCCCAGATTTCAAAACTAGAGCTTGGATTTCCAATTTGAAACCTCAGATTTCACCAGATGTTGTGACATTTTTGTTAGTGTCCCCACTAATTTGATCCCAAAACTGTCTGGTCCCTAAATGCAATCCCAAAAGTTCAGAGCTTGATTATCATATCTGAAAGAATACATATTTGCCCTTCCCTTTGCTAAGGGGCCATAGATTTTATTTCATATATACCTCGCCAAGGTAGTTTCCAATCTGGAGCTGGCCACTCTAATTGCTACACTAATGCCAGTCACGTCCTTGGGTGGCAGAAAAGAGACCAGGAGGGATTTCTTCACATTTGTTCCTTTCTTCTAAAAGGATGGCCAGTGTTACTGGAGGAAATCCTGATTTTGGGGGGGTCCAATAGACCCAAGAAGAAAAAAGAGAGAAAAAGCAATGCTACAGCCACACACACAAAAAAAAAGCAGCTGAGAGGCAGGAGAAGATTGCTCCCTCCCCTCAGCTGTTTTTTTAGTTTTCTTCGGCAGTCCCTTTAAACAGGGTGCGTTTAAAGGGACTGCAGAAGTCAGCCTGGAAAATAGCGGAGCCAGCAGGGAGCAGTCTTCCCACTGGCTCAGCTTTGGGCTCTCTTGTGCAGTCCCGAACGCACACCCCTACTGGGATCCCCACTTTAGTTTTATTGTTTTAAAGGGGAAATGACAGGTTAGTTAAACATATCTTTTTTTTAACAATGCCAATAATAGCACAGGAAGCTTGATTGTGATTAGAAAACCAAGTGGAGATAGAAGGGTTAAATCTCCTTTCCCATTTCCAAGGGGTCCAGATCCAACTCACCAATATGTGTATACACAGCTGACCCGTTACGGGCTGATGGAGGACTCTGTCCCATCCATCCCTGAATCTGTCCTGCATTCAGAGCTACACTGCCTCTGAACATGGAGGTTCCATGTTAGAAGAAGCCTTCGCAGAGAAGAATTAATACGGGTTACGGGTAAGACCTTTATCATAATGGGGTAAACATTATTATAGGAATTTATCAGTAAAGAGAATGGAAGGTACGCCACTAGACAAATTGCCAACAGTTCGAGCCTTTGGTGCCTCTAAACCGACTGATTCCAGTGGGTGTGACTGAATGCTCCACACTGCCTACATTCAGGCTGCCAGTTAGTAAACACCGGCCCAATATGGAATCTGGTGGGTAGCCGTGTTGGTTTCAAGCTGCAGAGCAAAGTTTGAGTCCAGTGGGGGTGAGCTTTTGTGTGGTGCTCACTTCCTCAGACACAATGAAACGGAAACAGAAATAACAGTCATACATATAGTTGGTGGGCAGTGAATCAGCATGCAGAATAATGAAGATGTTTTCAACAGATTAAAAAAGAATAAGAAGCCAAATATGTTGACTTTTAGCACCAGTTCCGGGAACAATAATCTCATTCACAAAATTCCGAATTCCAGGCCCTGGTTTTAAAAACCCACAGAAAAACAGGCTTGCAGTCTGCTTGTTTTGAGGAAGGACAAAGAAGACCTTTGTTTTGGCTTTACTTACAGTTCAATCAGAGAATCTAAATCACCAAAGATGTCCCTTGGCAGAGCTTTAATCTGATTGTTGGCCAAAGAGCTGGAAAAAGTAAAGTTAGGTGTTAGAGCAGTAGAAGAGATGATAATAACTAAACACAGCAACACTTAGCTAATGTTAACAGTTGGAGGCTGTCCAGTTTCCAGCGCTGACAAGGAGTAACAGGATTATGAATGAAATTAATAGAACCTTTTTTTCAGTTCAAGGAAACCCAGAATGCCCTGAACGGACTTCATAAAAACACAAAGACAGTCTGTTTTCAGTATTGAGGCAGGGGGAGGGGAAAATGCACAAGCTAAGCTGCCAACGGATCACTGCCTTGTCGTGGCGAGGGGGCTTGCGTGGTTCGATGAAGCTGTGAGCTATGCCGTGAAGGGCCACCCAAGACGGACAGGCCACAGCAGAGAACAGACCAAGAGTGATCCCCTGGAGAAGGTAATGGCAACCCACTCCAGTATCTTTGCCAAGAAAACCCCATGGACAGTATCAAATGGGGTCGCGAAGAGTCGGACTCGACTGTGCGACTGAACAACAACAACAACAACAAGCTGCCAACGGATGGTTTGTCCAGGCACATTTGATGACTGCGAGGAAGAGGGGCACCACCCAGGACCCCGAAGAACAGCAGTGAACAGACTTTGTCCAGTACTCAGAACATACCCCATGCAAAGGATGTGGATAGGGAAATTCCTGGAGATTTGCGGCTAGAGCCTAGAGAGGGTGGGGTTTGGTATGCCATAGAACCCACCCTCAAAAGCAGCCATTTTCTCCAGGGGGACTCATTCCTGTAGCCTGGAGATGAGCTGTAATTACTGGATATCTCCGGGCCTCACAATGAAGGTTGTGGGCAGCAGGACTTGGGGAGACTTCCTCACTGATGCTTGACTGAGGCAAACGTTAAACTGGCCGGAGAGATCAACATCTGGGACAGGACGGCAACGGAAATGATACAAAGCAGCTTTTGGAGAACTGAGACAAGGAACTCCAGAGGAGGAAGGCCAAGGATGAGCTGAGCTCCTTCCTGGTTCATCGTGGTCATGATGGTTGTGAACCAGGCCTGAAGCCTGAAGCCACCCTCTTTGTTCAAGCACCACAACCTCATGGGCCTTTTGCAACATTCCTCCCCACTGCAGTGGTGGAGTGGCCTTCTGACAGGCTATAACAACAAAGTACAACACGTGCCCTAAACGAAGTCTGAAACCTTCCTCCAGCTAGGATTCCCAGCATTGCCTCAGCAAATGGCAGGAGATTTGGGGGGGGGGGTGCGCTGCCAGAGGAGGGTGGAGTTTGGGGAAGATGTGATGTCACTTCTGGGTGACAATCTAGGCTGGTCTTTACCACAGAGACTAGGGGAAATTTCTAGAGCATACCTATGTGGAGGCCATTTTTCTTCCTGCTCTTCAATTCCTTGGAGGTTTGGAAATTCGGGGCCAGGAAAGGTAGATGCCTGCCCCGGGTGGTTAAATGGGAAGAGACTCATTTGGGCTGGGTGTGCATAACTGGATTATCTGAGATCCAACAGTGCAGGTAAGACATCATCTGAAGCACAGTGTGTTTCCCCCCCACAGTGGAGTGAGATCACACGTTGAGCTGCAGATCCTTATGGCTCCTGGTTATCGGGGGAATTAATTCTGGATGGAAGACCACTGATCTTCCTTGCTCCTCCTCATCTCCTTATTATCATCACCCCAATGAAGTAGGAGGGGAAGGAGCTCAGTGGGGATGTGATGTGCCATTTCCTACGGGGGAACTGATCTCTGCAGCCTGAAGATCAGTTGTAATTCTGGGAGAACTCCAACCCCTCACCTGGAGGCTGGCAACTAGGGATGTGCAAAAATCGGCCTGATTCGGATTTGGCAGAATTGGGCTGAATGTGATTCAGCCGGTCGAATGACTCCCGAATGCCACTTTCGGCAATGGAGGCCGATTCGGAAGTCACTTGGCCGGCCGAATGACTTTCGGCCCCGTGCCTTCCCCGGCCTGCCCACCGAAGCAGGCAAGCCGGGGAAGGCCTGGAAAGGCCCCATCTTCCCTGGAAGGAGTGGGGAGGCATTTAAATGCCTCCCCATGCCTTCCCCTCACCCAGCAAAGGAAACATACAGCATCCATTTGGGGAACCCCTTTTCAGCCAGCCTAATCAGATTGGGAAATCTGATTCGGTTGTAGGCAGACCCAAATAATGCCGAATAGGCATTATTCTTTTTTTTCAGTTTGTCCGAACCGAATGCACATCCCTACTGGCAACCCTCCACGTGGGGCCGCATGGAAAGAGAGAATGGGAATGAGTGACAGACAGCAACTCCGACTAAGGCCAGGGAGTTTTGTGCAAATGCTGGAGCCTCTGAAATGGTGTCTAGCTGCTATTTCAGGGGCTCTAATGGGTGGGTTGGTGAGAGTCCCCTGCCCATATGGGCACCCTGGAAGATGCTAGACTATTCCTAATTATTTAAGATCACACAGTCTGAAAAGTCTACATGGACAAGCCAGTCAAATCCAACTCTAGGGTTGCGGTGCTCATCTCCGTTTCCAAGCCAAACAGCCAGCACTGTCCAAAGACGTTTCTGTGGTCATGTGGCCGGCATGACTAAATGCCAAGGCGCACAGAATGCTGTTTATCTACTTGCGTTTTCTTGCTTTCAAACTGTTAGGTTGGCAGGAGCTGGGACCAGAGATGGGCGCTCACTCCCGTCATGCAGCACTGGGGTCTCAAACTGCCGAACTACAGACCTTCCAGTCTGCAGCTTGGTGTCTTAACCTCTAAGCCACCGCAGTCCCGAAAGAGCAATAATTAGCCATAAAAACCATGGTGACTCCCATCAATGTGAGACTATCAAAAAAATTATTTATTTTTTCTTTATTTTTTTACATTTTTACCCCGCCCTCCCCGCGAACAGGCTCAGGGTGGCTTACACAGGGGCAGAAGCCCATACATAAAAACAATGTAAAACAGTAAAAACTATTAAATCACAACAAAACAAATAAAGTGCTCCATACAAACAGAATGACCGGGTTACAATCAGAGTGTGCTGTGAGGATAGCGCCATTAAGTCCTCAAATACACCACCTTTCCTATGGTCCCCCTTGGCCACCAGGAGGGGATGGGGGCATAGGGTTGCCAGATCCAGGTTGGGAAACTCCCAGAGATTTGGGCATAGAGCCCAAGGGGGGCAGGAACCTCAGTGGGGTACGATGCCCTCGAGCCCACCCTCCAAAGCATCCATTCTCTCCAGGAGGACTGATCTCTGTAGTCTGGAGATGAGCTGTAATCCCAGGGGATCCCCAGGTCCCACCTGGAGGCTGGCATCCCTAGGTACATCTGATTGACATTTAACACAAGCATTTCTCTGCATCTGTGAGGGCTAGAATGCTTCGGTTCCTCAAACTGTACGATTCCAGGATGAAGAAGCCAGATTCCATTCAGGATTTTGCAGACTGTACATGAACTGCGCTACAGTTCTATTGATATTTTTAAAAGATATTACAGCATTGGACAGGGTGCAGAAAAGGGCAACTAAAATGATCAAGGGGATGGAACACCACCCCTATGAAGAAAGGTTAAAGAGGTTAGGGCTCTTTAGCTTGGAGAAATGATGACTAAGGGGTGACACTAGGGTTGCCAAGTCTTACCTGCTGCTGGAGCGGGGAGCTCCCTGCTTGTTCCTGGAGCGCACGCACACGCGCCACAACCCCGTCACCCGGAAGTGACGTGACCACGCCAGACACGCTGGGGGCGGGGCCACGACCATCCGAGGAAAAACCATAGAGTTTTCCCTCGGATGACCGTGGCCCCGCCCCCAGCGTGCCTGGCGTGGTCGCGTCACTTCCGGGTGATGTGCACGTTGCTTACTTTGGGGGTGGGGTTCTCCCCGGGGCCTGATCCACCGGCGGCGGGGAACGGGCCTCTGGGGCAGGGGTTTCCCCGCTCCCTGGGGGGACTTGGCAAGCCTATGTGACATGATAGAAGTTTCCAAAAATATGCATGGGATAGAGGGTAGAGGAAAAAAGTACTTATCTCCCTTTCTCACAGTACAAGAACTCGTGGGCACTCAGTGAAATTTATGAGCAGTAGGCTTAGAACAGAAAAAAAGGAAGGACTTCTTTGCCCAAAGAGTTATTAACACGTGGAATTCACTGCCGCAGGAAGTGACAAAAGCTACAAGCACAGACAGCTTCAAGAGGGGACTGGATAGACATATGGAGCAGAGGTCTAGATGGGACACTCTGTCTGGGGCAGAGATGCTCTGTGTTCTTGGTGCTTGGGGGGGGGCAACAGCCTTTGGAGTTCTGGCCCTGCTGGTGGACCTCCTGATGGCACCTGGGTTTCGGCCACTGTGTGACACAGAGTGCTGGACCGGATGGGCCAATGGCCTGATCCAACATGGCTTCTCTTACGTTCTTATATGTAAGTATTGGGAAAACGAATTTTATACAAGACAGGGAAAAAATCCAAGTTAGCATTAAAGACTTACAGGTGGGTCAAGTCTCGAAGGCCGCGAAATGCATTTCTTGAAATGGTTTCTATTTTGTTCCCTTCAATAAATCTATCCAGAAAGATTTGTTTGGGAAGGAAAAATATATACGTTAAGGACAGACTTTTGCTGGGCACCGAGAGGTACAGTGGCTGTACGGAACTGCTCAACTCGTTTTTATTCTATTATTTTAATTTCCATAGACAACGTATCAGAACTGCAGAAGTATCAGAAGTACAGAAGCAGGGACCTGGAAAAGGTTAGGAGCAATGTTCCCTCTAAGCTGTGGAATTTTCTGAGCAAAAATTCTACTTTGTGAGCTCCTGGCATTAAAGCTGTGAGCAAACAATTTGGCTACGGCATAAATTAGTTGGCTCTGGACCCATCCTTCCTGAGCTAAGACAAAAACGTGTGAGCTGGAGGCTAAAAAACTGTGAGCTAGCTCACACTAACTCAGCTTAGAGGGAACACTGGTTAGGAGAGAGAGGAATAACAGAATACTCACACAAAATGTGATGCAGGGTTGCCAGCTGACGCTTGGGAAATACCTGGAGATTTGGGGGGGGTGGAGCTGG